TTAAATGAAGAATTGATAACAGTTCCATAACCGATTCATATAGTTGCTATTGATCAAGCAAGTATGGAACTTCCACAAGACATTGTCGAAATTCCTCCAACTCAAGATGATTTGGTAATTCATGAAGAACAAACTCAAAATCCTCAAGAACAGGTGTTACAAGAAGCAATACCTTTGCGGAGATCCACTAGAGAAAGGAGAAATGCTATTCTGGATTATTGGATAGTCTTTCTCCAAGAACATGAGGAAAATAATGGTATGATAGAAGATGATCCTATCAACTTCCGTCGAGCCATGAAAGATTCCAACTCGGAAAAGTGGATTGAAGCAATGAAGGAGGAATATAAGTCCATGAAAGATAATAAAGTTTGGGAACTTGTCCCATTACCAAAATGTGTGAAACCCATTGGTTACAAATAGATTTTTAAGACCAAACAGGATTATAACAGTAATGTGGAGAGGTATAAGGCTCGTCTTGTGGCTAAAGGCTATACTCAAAAGGGAGTGATTAACTTTAAAGAGACTTTCTCTCCGGTTTCATCGAAAGACTCTTTTAGGACAATCATGACTCTTATTGCACGTTGTGATTCGAAACTCCATCAAATAAACGCCAGGACAACTTTCCTCAATGACAACGTTGATGAAACAATCTATATAATGCAACCAGAAAACTTTGTGTCAGGAGACTCAAAGAATATGGTTTGCAAATTAAAAAAAAATCCATTTATGCACTAAAACATGCATCTCGTCAGTGGTACCACAAGTTTCAGGAAGTAATTCTCTCATTTGGTTTTAAGGGGAATGTTGTTGAAGATTGTATGTATCACAAATTCAATGGGAGCAAGTACATTTTCTTGGTCCTGTATGTTGATGACATATTGTTTGTCGCCAATGATATAGGCATGTGCACGAAACCAAGAAATGTCTGTCAAGAAAATTCAAAATGAATGATATAGGCATGTTTCACTTTTTCAAACTTGTGATTTAAGACACACATAGGTTGCTTTTTAGCAACTTGTTTATGATAAAAACACATAACTTATTGAATGTAAGGAGACCCGCATTGTACAATCTACAATGTATGATCAAATTACAACTAAATTAATCAAAACAATAAATAAAAATTATAACAAATTGAAAATGTTACAAAACATCACAGCACAAATGAAAAAGTGTGAGGATAACTTTATTACCGACATCACAATTTCACATCTATTATAATATATTAAATCTAAAGCGTCAAATTATATTATGACACATCATGTCATGTAGCTATATATTTGTCACATCAATTAAAATATGACTTGTCACACTTAAAATTAAACCCAACAACAAATTTGCATAATTTCAGTTCAACTTCTATCCAAAAACTATATGGTACAACAACCTTATCATCTCTTTCGCAAGAGTTACTTATAATTAAACACAATTATCACCCACCTTAAATTCTTAATTTATTTTTTATAGTTTTTCTATTCTCTCTCAATTGTTTCATTCGAGCCTCTAAACTTTGTTGCATATTTTTTATTTATTTTTTTTACAAAGTCTAATATCTAAAAAAAATAACAAAACTATTTTGGTAATTTAAAAAACACTTAGCACAAAAATAAATCGGTCATTCAAAAATAAAATAAATTAACTAATGAGTAACAAAAAAATTATATTATCTATTCTATTATAATATATTAAATCTAAAACATCAAGTTATATTACGGCACATCATATGCCATGAAACTATATATTTGTCACATCAATTAAAATATAATAAGTCACACTTAAGATTAAACTCAACAACAAGTACAATTTTATTTCAATTTCTATCCAAAAATCATATGTTACAACAATTTTATCATCTCTCACACAAAAGTTACTCATAATTAAATACAATTATCATCCACCTTAAATTTTTAATTTAATTTTTATAATTTTTCTATTCTCTCAATTGTTTGATTCGAGCCTCTAAACTTTGTTACATATTCTTTATCTTTTTTTGTAAAATCTAATATAAAAAAATAACGACACTATTTTAATAATTTAAAAAGCATTTAACACAAAAATAAATCAATCATTCAAAAATAAAATAAAATAACTAATGACTAACAATAAAATTGTATTTTATAAATATTCAAAACTCTTACAAAATTTAAAAACAGCAATAATGAATATTTTAAATTACACACTATACATATTACTAACTAACCAAAAATTTAAAGAATAAGAGAATAGACTCTATGAACAAATATGAAATATTATTCTTACACCTCTTCATTTATTTTCACTATCCCAAAAATCTATATATAACAAATGTGTTTTAGAATAAAAAATTCAATAACAACTATTTATTTTAGTCCAATATAAAATTATTGAAAGATACCAAAATAATTTTTAATTATTTTGAAAAAGTAATAAAAATTAATATAATTATTAAATTTAATACCGACAATAATAAATATTAAACAAACAAAATAATTGATGAAAAAAAATTAAAATAATCCATGCAAGGCGCGCATTATCATCTAGTTTGTATTAAAACTGATCTCCTATGTAATGTTAAAAGCAATTAATATACATAGCTATTAAAAATAATTAACTAAATTATATATATATATATATATATATATATATATATATATATATATATATATATATATATATATATATATATATATATATATATATATATATATATATATATATATATATATATATATATATATATATATATATATATATATGGACTATTTTGGATGTTTGTATATTATTGTTTTTTTTTCTCCTAATTTTAGTGTTAGAGAATTATTAAAACAAAGCGCATTAAAAATATTAGAAATAATAATTAAACTCAACAAAAATTGTAAAAAATCAATATATTAATTTTTGTGTTGTAAGAGAGGGAAGGGCCGGAGCCACCAGAGATGTGACAGAGTTTATGTAGAGTATTTTAGTATCTATTTTCATATCTATAATTAAAAAAAAAATTAACATCTTCAAACTCATATCTATTTGGACGCCAAATTTAACATCCGTGCTCGTATCTTATAAATATGTAAGTACTCATACATATACTAGTTACCCGCATTCATACTAAAATTAAATATATCAATTATTTTAAGTTTTTAAAATATTTATTACGGTAATAAACGAACATTTATATTAAATACGTGATAGGAATACATTTTTATATAATAATATAAATTAAAATATTAAATTAAAATTAAAATACATATAATTGTATGGATATAATGCGGAGTGAGTACTATGCCGCTCATACCTATACTTATACCTGCTTATTTTAATCAGTAATTACCCGAGTCCGTGCTCATTCTCATTTTAGCAGATTTTTATCCAATCTATTATAAATAATTTTGTGGATGCCCATTAAAAATAAATCAAATTATCACCCTTATCATCCGCTAGCTAGATCCCTTCTTGACTCTTGCTAATGAGAGTTTTTTCATTTGAATTTCTTTTTCTACATAAAATGAACATATTCATCAAATTTCAAACTCAGAAGTAAAAAGGCCATTTTAGAATCTAAACTTTCTTTTAAAACTTGTCTCATGATTTTTTTAATACTAATTACGGTATAAAACATCACGTTGTAATAGATTCCGACATTTACTTGCATGGTAAACAATCTTCTGAGATCATTATACATGTCCTTAGAGATTGTGACATATTTATTACTATGAATGGTAATAAATAGAGTACTTTCATTATCACACTTAGTGAATTTTAGTCTTCAATTGTAATCGATTGTTACTAACCAATAAAAATGTCATATTCTCTTTAATTTCTTGACAAATTTGTTGTCTCAAGATAGTAGATAATTTTCAGCTTACATGGATCCCATTATAAACTCTAAAATAATTTATTTTTCTTGTAACCTTCTAATCTCATTATAAAGTCTAAAATAATTTATGTCATTAATTTTACAAGAATTATTCTGGTAATCTTGATCAATCAACCTCCCGACGAGTTGTTTGAATTTCACTTATTTGCTTGTCAAGATGAATTCCTTTGTTATAGTCAATATGCTCATTTCTCAAAACACCAATTCTCGACACACTATATCTATCACGGAACACACACATTAAAATTGTAGTGGGATCTCTTTGTTTCGGAGTGTTCCTCTCGTCTTAAAATTTTCTATTCAATAAAAAAAACAAGCGTATATTCCTCATTATCTATTCAATAAAATAATGGTAATATGTTCTCTAAGTATATATGCTGTTGGTCTTTGTCAATCAGACAGAACTAAAATTTCAAAACAGCACCAAATTTTGCAATATGTTCTCTAAGTATAGTAGTTTGTTTATATTTGATGCCCCATGCATTTACCACAGCGGGACTTAAGCAATATGAGATGTATAATTTTTATGGCGTCACATTCCATGCTAGCACCAAATTTTGCTAATCAATAACCCCATCCAAAGGATGAGTGAAAGAGGATGCTGACCAGAGCAAACTTGAAATCAGATTCAAAAGTGCAGCCCTCAGGATGTAAGTATCCAACCAAAGCTTTTGATTTGACAATACTAATACAAAGACATTAAACTAAGTATGTTTAGCACAACTCAAATAAAGCTTACATTCATTTTTAACCTCAAAAATATCTTAGGCACTGCATTTTGCAATTTTGCAATTGCATCTTGTAGATTCAAAGAGCTTTGCAACAATAGAGGTTGCTAAAATATCTAAATTCCAAAATCTCCATTCTAATATTATGCTTAGTTAGCTGATTTGAAGTTTACCCCTGCGGCAGTTACAGCAACTACATAACTTTCCCAGTTAAATCCAGGCACATGGTGTCTTTCCACAAAAGTTTGAAAATAATAACTAGTGAGAAGTCTGATTATAGCAAATTATGTAAGCTAGTACTTGGAAATGAAGGAACCGCGGTGGCACCACGTAGTAAGTTGGAAACTACACTTTGGAGAGGCGGAAATTTTACTCTGACAGGTGAGCTATGGGCCAGGCCAGCAATGATCATTCTGCAGTTAAACAACAGGCTCCTCCAACTCCTCATCCGTTTTCTTCCTGTACTTGCGGTTCGACCTCTGAGAGCTCCTTTTAGTATCCTCAATAACTTCCTGCCCATCCTCCTCCATTGCACATACGTCACTGTTTTCAGTGTCGCCAGCAGCAGCTATGCTAACAGGGAAAGCTTTTTTATTCATGCAATCCTTGTCAACATCAAGCTTAAGCTTTGACACTGTCTCATTCTCTCCCATAGTGACATCACCGGATTTCTTCTTCGGTATAAAGGTAACAGATGGAAGATCATCCAACGCTTCATCTGCCTGTGTTGATGCATTTGAACCTTTTATCTGTGCAAGGAAGCTCATGTATGCCTCCTTATTTGCTTTGTCATCAATGTCAGTTGAAGAATCAAAAGTATAATGTGTGTATCTTGAAGGATTGCGGATATAATCAGGAACTGCTGAAGCAAATTCCTGCAACTTTGATGGCTGATTTAAAGCTGCATCCTCTTCCATTGAAGAGCTCTTCATGCGAACATCCCTGGTTCCTTCCTTCTCATCATCACCATTACCATCTCTATTATCACATTCAGAATCAAACCGAACACGTTTATTTGGCCTAGACTCCGAAGTATTATCTTTACTCTTCAAAATTGACTTGGGGTTAACACTAACAGAATCACCCCCACCGCCACCAACGTCAGATGTAGTAGATTTGGCAGAGACACGCAAAACATCAATTCCGTTTGCTCCTCCGTCATCCTGCTCCAGCTTAATCTTAGCAGCCACATGATTTGCTCGCGGGTCTCTCGAAAAACCTCCAAAAGCACGAGAACTTATCCCGATTCCATCTTCATTTATAGCATTCATATACAAACGATCCCCCGTGTCATCTTGGCCCAAAGCTTGTTTATCATAATGATCTTCCTCTTCCTGCATATAGCAATTCAGTCAAATTCTTTCTCACGTTCAATCTCAATCAAAACTTCAAGAAGGAAAAACTCATTAAAAAACTTTAATAACTCGAATGAAACTGGTTCCATTAGAATTTGAAAAAACAGAACTTTCTCACTTCAACACTAGTCAATTTCTTTTAACATATAGAAAATTAAATTTAGGTCTTCTAATTGATAGAACAACTTGGCCAAATTCAAATTAAATAACATGAAAAAAAATAATACTATTCAGTAAAATTAAATAATAAAAACATCAAATTTGTGATAATAAAGAGGAATAATGAATTGGTACCTCAAAATCGAGGGTGCAGTCGAGACCGATACCAGATTTAACCTGCCACTGTTCATCATCGTAGTCGGACGGCTTAGATGGAGCGGCGGCGTTTGCGTTTTCGTTTTCGTCGAGGTCGTTGTCCAGGTCAGGTTCGAGACCGGAAGAAGTTGGGTAGGGTTTGGTTTCGGGTTCGGGTTTGGGTTTGTTGTTGATGATTTCGTCTTCAGAGAGAGACCAAAGGGAAGCGGAAGAAGGAATAGGAAGAGAACCAAAAGCTTTCTCTACACGGAGTCTGAAACTATCTTCCATGATTGAATTTGGGTTTTGCACGCTCGCAAATTGAGCAACGGAATTTGATTTAAATGGGGTATGGAATTCAAGTGTAGAGGTAAAGGCAAGGGTGGTTTGGGTATTGCTTACGAACAAACTTGTTGGTTAAGTCCAAATCAAGAGTATACAGGAAGAGTTTAGGGTACAATAGAGATTTTATCTCGGTCTCAAAATAAAAAATTAAAATAAAAAATCTTTTAAAGTTGTCGTACGTATATTAAAAAAAAAATTAATAAATAAATATAATAATTTTATAAAAAAAATTATTATATTTATAAAATTGCATATATATAATAGATTGAGAGTAGTGTTGATGATATTTATTAAAGATAAAATTGATAAACATTAATTAGTTTTGTATTGAAAACATAATTTTCTTTTTATTTTATGATAAATTTCTTTGGCTATAAATATTTTTATTTTAGAACATAAGGAATAAGGAGTATTTACAATTTTTTTATATGACTATAAATAAAAATATTAAATATTTCAATTTAGTTATGTGAGATATTGAATTGAACTCGAAGCATGAGGTCAATGTCTGTTCACATGTTGTTATCGAAGTAATGCGTGTTGTAGTCGAAGTTTGTTCTAACATGCATTAGTCAATATTGCTAGAGTTGTTAGCATGTTGAATTGGGTTTTGCTTGTTAGCTTGTACCCTAAGTTAGCTTGTAATGAGTAATTGTTAAAAAGCTCATTAGGTTAGTGTGCTATTTTTCTTATAAATAACATGCTAGTCTCTCACTTGGTATAAGAAAAAAAATAGGAAGATAAAATCCTAATTCAAATGAGAGATGTTATTTGTTATTCTTGTATACTTGTAATCTTGTTCCAAAAGAGAAAGGAAAGAATAGCAGTTTGTAACCAATCTTTGTTGTTTTACCTTGTTTTCTTTGTTAACCTTAACCCTTGTGTGTTTCTTGATCATAAAGAAATCGTTTATATTTTGTTTCAAGACATCCTATTCACAATAAATTGGTGCAGTGAGCGTGGAGGAGATGCCTTCAACAAAGTATGAGATTGAAAAGTTCATCGGAGTGAACGACTTCGGTCTGTGGCGTTTGAAAATGAAAGCCCTACTGGTTCAGCAGGGTTGTTTGGAAGCGTTGAAGAGATAGGCAGCCATGGACGTTGCGTTAACGACAAAAGAAAAGACGGTCATGATTAAGAAAGCCCACAATGCAATATTGTTGAACCTTAGTGATAAGGTTCTTCGACAAGTATCAAAGGAGACTACAACATCGGGATTATCGGTGAAACTTGAAAGTTTGTACATGGCCAAATCTCTGGTGAATCGACTCTACCTGAAGCAAGTTTTGTATTCATTCAAGATGATTGAAGACAAAGTGTTGGCTGAGCAGTTGGATATGTTCAACAAGATGATTCTTGATCTTAAAAATATTGATGTGAAGATCGATGATGAAGATTAAGCTATGTTGTTGTTGTGTGTTTTGCCCATAACACATGCTCACTTCAAAGAAACTCTCTTGTATGGAAGGGAGTCCTTGAGCTTTGAAGAAGTTCAATCAGCCTTGTATTCTAAGGACTTGAACGAACGAAAGGAGCATAAACCTTCAACGGTAGGCGAAGGTTTGGCCATTAAGGGAAAATTCTTGCGAAAGGATGGTAAGTTCGACAAGAAGAAAGGTAAAAGTCAGTAGAAGTCTTATAATGGCGAAACATCTGGTATTCGAGTTTATCACTGTAAGAAGGACGGTCACACAAGAAAGGTGTGCCCTGAACGTCTAAAAGATCATGGATGCAAGGGTAATGGCAACGTGGCCATTTTTCAAGATGACTTTGACTCATCTGATGTTCTTATGGTTTCAAGTGGCGACTCAAGAAAATAGTGGATTATGGATTCAGGTTGCACTTGGCACATGACTTTAAATAAAGAATTGTTCGAGGAGCTATTTGATCAAGATGGTGGATCGATGCTGCTGGGAAACAACAAATCTTGCAAAATTACAGGTATTGGATCTGTGAGATTCAAGCTCCATGATGAGTCAATAAGGTTATTGACTAAAGTTAGGTATGTACCTGATTTAAAGAGAAACTTGATTTCTCTTGGTGAATTCGACAGGAAGGGGTATGTTTTTCAAGGAGAGAAAAGTATCCTAAGAGTCATGAAGGGGTCGAAGGAAGTCTTGAGAGGTGTGAAGAAACAAGGCTTGTATACCCTAGAGGCTGAGGTTGTAAGTGGTTCGACAAATGTTGCATCCATGAAACCTGTGTCGAAGACAAAATTATGGCACATGAGATTGAGTCATGTCAATGAAAGGGGTTTGGTCGAATTAGGGAAGCAGAACCTGCTAGGAGGTGACGAAGTCGAAAAGTTGGAGTTTTGTGAATCTTGTGTATTTGGTAAATCTTGTAGGGCGAAGTTTAACAAAGACATTAAAGAACACATGGATCCCTGGATTACATTCATGCTGATCTTTGGGGGCCTGCAAGGAATCCTTCACACTCAGGTGCAAAGTATTTTCTATCCATCATTGATGACTATTCTAGAAAGTTATGGGTATTCATCCAAAAGAGGAAGGATGAAACTTTTGAGAATTTCAAAAGTCTGAAGGTTCTGATCGAAACTCAAACTGACAAAAAGGTTAAGAGGTTGAGGATCGACAATGACCTTGAGTTCTGCAACAAAGTGTTCAACAATTATTATGTTGAGTTTGGGATTGCAAGGCATAATATTGTAGCACATACTCCTCAATAAAATGACTTAGCTGAGAGATTCAATTGAGCAATCCTTGAAATGGTTATATGCATGTTGGTTAGTGCTGGATTGAAGAATGTGTTTTGGGCGGAGGCTGTTTCGGCAGCAGTCTATCTGATAAACAGATGTCCCTCGATTGCCTTAAGAATTAAGACACCTGAAGAAGTTTGGTCGGGACGTCCACCTAGTCTCGACAGACTGAGAGTATTTGGTTGTGTGGCCTATGCTCATATTAGGCAAGACAAGGTCGAACCTAAAGCTCTGAAATGCATGTTCATGGGATACCTTGAAGGAGTCAACGCTTATAGGCTATGGTGCCTAGAGCCAGGTCACAGGAGGTGTATCACCAATTGAGATATAGTTTTCAATGAAGTAGAGATGGCTTTCAAGAAAACTGATGATGCTGACGAAGAGCTGGAACAAGGAGAGATTTCTGTTTAGGTGGAGCATGTTGATGCTGAATTGTGTATCCCAGATGAAGTCAAAGAAGAAGTTGAAGTTGCTGTCGAAGATGAGGATACTGATAATGACTACATGCTATCAAGATACAGATCGAGGAGAGTCATCAAGCCACCTTATAGACTTGGGTATGCAGATTATAACTTATGCCTTAATCTCTGCAAGCGAGGTTCTAGACGAAGAACCTAGAGACTATAAGGAAGTTATGAGGAGTCGAAAGAATATTGAATGGCTGAAGGCCATGGATGATGAGATGAAATATCTTCATGATGACAATACCTGGGAACTGATCAAGAAACCTGTTGGAGCCAGGTTAGTCAGTTGTAAATGGATTTTCAAAGTTAAAGAAGGAATTGAAGGAGTGGCATCGAAGAGATACAAGGCAAGATTACTCGCTAGAGGGTTCACTCAGAAAGAAGGTGTCGAATTCAATGATGTGTTCTCTCCTATTGTGAAGCACGGATCCATTCGAATGTTGCTTGCCACAGTGGCACAATTCAACCTTGAACTAGAACAGATGGATGTGAAGATTGCGTTTGTGTATGGTGATCTAGATGAAATAATCCTTATGAGGCAACCTGAAGGGTATGTCGAAAAAGGGAAGGAAGATTATGTGCGCAAACTCAATAGGTCTTTATATGGACTGAAACAATCTCCTCGGCAGTGGAATATGAGATTCGACAAGTTCATGGCACACATAAGTTTCATTAGAAGTCAGTTCGACCACTGTGTTACTTCAGATTTCGACCTGGTAATTCATTTGTTATTCTGTTGCTTTATGTGGATGATATTCTAATAGCAAGCAACAATGTCGAAGATGTAATGAGGGTGAAGGTTGAACTCAATAAGGAGTTTGACATGAAGGATTTGGGAGCTGCATTCAGGATTCTTAGGATTGACATCCGAAGAGATAGAAAGCGGTAGAAATTATGCTTATCTCAAGAGGCGTACCTACGGAAGATTCTCCAAAAGTTTGGTATGTCGAATTCAAAGCCTGTTGTGACTCCGACAAACCCTCAATTCAAGCTGAGTATAGATCAGTGTCCCAATATTGATGTCGAAAGAGCTTATATGAATAGTATTTCATATGCTAATATAGTGGGTTATTTGATGTATGATATGGTATGTACTAGACCTGACATAACATATGCAGTAAGTCTTGTAAGCATGTGCATGGTGAATCTTGGAAAGGCTCACTGACAAGAATTGAAGTGGATTCTAAGGTACATAAATGAGTCTCTGAATAGAGTCCTAATTTATGGTGGAGCCTTGGGTGAAGATAGTAAAGTAGCAATTGAAGGATATGTCGACTCTGATTATGCAGGTTGTATGGATTCCAGAAAATCTATTTTTGAATGTGTTCACTATATTTGGGACAACAACCAGTTGGAAAACAACACTTCAGAAGGTCGTTGATTTATCAACCATTGAAGCAGAATATATTGCCCTAACTGAAGCTGTGAAGGAAGCATTGTGGCTTGAAGGTTTTGCAAAGGAGCTGAAACTTCAAGGTCGAGTTATCATTGTTAAATGTGATAGTCAAAGTGCAATACACCTGTCAAAGAATTCAGCCTATCATGAGTGAACCAAGCATATTGATGTGAGGTTGCATTTTGTTAGAGGGGGTAATCAAGCATGGAGAAGTCCAAGTGCTGAAGGTTTCAACAGATCATAATGCCGTTGATATGATCACCAAGATGTTGCCCAGTTGCAAGTTTTTCCACTATATGCAGTAAATAAAGCTGCATAAAGAAAGCTAGCTTGTTTCTTGATGTTATAGAGTTAGATCCAAGATGGA